AATGACATGTTTTGTGTGATTAACTTTTACACACAAACTAGCGGAATTATTTTGCAGCAATTTTTATACGGTGTAAGAAACGTTTTAAAAGCCATTTTTCAATCAAATGTCAAATGTTTTTTTGTTTCGTGACGTCAAGTTGTCGTGTTTACCAATGCGTTACTGTTATAGTCTTTCGGGCTGATCTCACAAACCTTAATCTGGAAATTACTTTCATGATAATTGTGACGCTGACTCAAAATATTCTGGCAATGAAAAAGAGAGTAAAGACCATCAATAAGAGGTCATAGCCCTACTTTGACTGCTTCTGACGGGTTAGTAGGTTATTTATATTGCTATCTCTTCCTTTCCAGCTTATTGTTAGTGTTGCACGCATGACTCGGTTGCTCTCTGCTAGACTATGATATTTTCTGCTCTGTAGCTCCTACAAGCAACTCGACACGGGACATCCACGGGAGTTGGTCACACGTGCAAGTCTGGGCCTTTGCCAAACAATCACCTCAGCCCGGGCAACTAAGCCACAGGTTGGAAGCTGCGCGATAGTTGTTAGCATGAAGCACAATCACACTAACCAATACACGTGGTATTAGAGCTTTTTGGCATGGTGCCAAGACAACAAATAAATTTCAAGTTAATTAAACACAGAGTATCTTGAGGAAGTTTTAAGCCAAGGTACGAATAACACGATAACAAGCATATAATTCACTGTCGTTTTAGGGTTCATCTAAAAAATTCCGTGTAAACTCATTTGATAATAATCTTTTGAGGCCTCATGTATGCGGACACTGCGTAAAGTGAGCGGCGGGGGATCATTGATAAAAAGTATTTTATAAGATTAAAAACAGTTTTTTAAACAAATCCCATTAACAAAAAATGGACTTATGTATTCAATGTAAACTTTCTTGATTTAAAAACCATGAAGATTTTTACAGCAAAAGCGTCGTATTTGGAATGTTCAGTCTAAACGGCACCTTATGCGACACATGAGTTAAACACTGTCAGTGGGAGACTGTCATGCCTCCACAGCTGAAGGTGCATGTTCTCAGACATATTCGCAGCTTGAACTTTGGAACATCTGATCCAAAACTTGTCACGCTAACCACTTAGCCTGTCCGACCCTGCAATAGTTCCTTTAACACTTTAGAAAACGCACAATTATAAATTATAGATTATTACGGCCATTTAAAAAATTATCTTTGGACGTTAGTTTGTAAAATAAGAAACCTTTATATTAAAAACAAAAGACATTTGCACCTCTAAGAATATGACATTTTTTTATATTTTAATTACTAAATATTTAACTTGATTTGGTTATACTTGTGGCTCTGGACGTTAGTTTGTAAAATAAGAAACCTTTAAATTAAAAACAAAAGACATTTGCACCTCTAAGAAAGTGACATTCTTTTATTTTTTAATTACTAAATATTTAACTTGATTTGATTATACTTGCGGCTTTGGACGTTAGTTTGTAAAATAAGAAACCTTTAAATTAAAAACAAAAGACATTTGCACCTCTAAGAATGTGACATTCTTTTATTTTTTAATTACTAAATATTTAACTTGATTTGATTATACTTGTGGATTTTAAAACATTTTAAATGTAAATGTGAAGAGTCTTTGCAATTAGCCTTGTATTATATGGAGCAAGAGTGCATACAAAATAAGACAAATTACACTTTATTCGTTATGGTGGTTGTTTTTTAGTTGAATATTTATAAATAACTAGACAGTACAAATGATTTTCATACAACATTACAAAATGTACACAAGCAATAGTTTACCAACTGAAACTATTATATTTTAACCATTTATAACTAAAAAAAAGAATACATCGTTATTCAGATATATTCTGACAATCTTTTTTTCAAACTGTTCTTGTAGATGTTCTGCAGTTAACGTTTCTGTGAACAGGATGTAAATGGTCATAAACTTGCATTAATCTTCTCAGGTTAAGTTGACGCATCACAGAAGCTCACTTGGTCAAACTTTTTTGCCATTGCTTCCCCGGGGTGTAGATTATATTCAAATGAAAGGAGAGTATAGAGGATTTCTCAGGCTTAGTATCAGCTAGGAGTTAATTTCCCCTTTGAAAACGTTTAATGATAAGGATTGCTGATTTAGATAATATAGGATTGTGGGATACTGCATTAAGACTTAACAGTGTAATTAATACAGGCGCTATCCTTTGTGGTTCTTCCGTTAGTGCAACATTTTGACTTCAAATGTACTTGGAAATACTACAATAGTACAACGATAAAACACCTCCCAGAAGGCCTACATTTACGAAACGAAAAACAATATAACAAGCTGAGCATTGCAACTCTATACTAAATATCTAATACAGCAATATTCTGTTGTATTACCGAAACAACTACATGCTGTCAGGACTGATTTTCTCTATTTTATATTTTTATTCCGAACCGATAAAAGACATTGCTAAAAACGATGAAAATAGTGAAAATATCCCCTAAAGATGGAGGTACAAGAACGAAAAAAAAAACTATTTTGACTTTGTTTGTTTGTGTACTTTAGAGTAAAGCCACATTAGGCTATCTGCTGTGTCCACCGAGGGGAACGAACCCCGGATCTTATTTCCTAATGACTTCACATCAGGCGTAAACGTAATTCCATTTTCAATTACACTAACATGTACTTTATTGAATATTAGTTAATATTCTTTTATTATTAAAAACTGACCAATTCGGTGGAGATATTTTGTTTTTATTCGTGACTATATTAAGATTACTTTCTATATCGATACCTGGATTTATGAAAGATCCATTGTTTAATACTTGGATAGGTCAAAATATTTGTGACTGAAGGCACTTAACGGATAAATAAATAAAATTTCTTGTTAAGCCTAAAATAAACTTATTTCAATACAGATTCATGAAGAATACTGAAGTGCTAAATGTAGCTGGAATGCAATAGTATAAAGGTGTGTGTATTACTAAAAACTACACCAACAGAGTAGTTATGTTTGTAGACACACCTACACTGTCCATTAGTTTTAAGGTAGATAATTAAGTTTGTTCATTTTACTTTTAGTTCCTTATTTCATTTCCGAATTGTTATATTGTATAATCCAGCGTTTCCCAAACTATGTTCCGCGGAACACCGATGTTCCTTCCGAGATTGATAGGCGCTCCGCGAGAAAATCATGATTTGAAATTTTAATAAAATAGTTAACACTTTTTGTACGATCATAACTTATTATGAAATATTTTCCTATGTATTAGAATTAGATAATATCGATTTCACATTGAAGAAGAATTATAGAAGATGCCAGATCTATTCTACATAATATCTTAGTGAAGAGGTTTGTACCTGAAATATATTATAAGCATAAAAATGTAAAAATTCATTAATATGTAATTTGATTAAATAAATAATATACAAATCTAGAGGACGCTGCGCACGCAACATACCCTCTACACCGATAATTCACGTGTCTAGTGTTCCGTAAGTTTTTCTCAGTTGAAAAGTGTTCCGTGGTCAAAAATATTTGGGAATCGCTGGTATAATCTGTTAGTTCCTAGACTTTTCTATAGTATTGAATAGTAGGACTAATCTACTAAAAGGTAGCACGAGCAAACATTTCGCTAAGATTTTGATACGTATTTGTGGTAAATTACCTTTATTATATCGTGATCACACAAAACTGGCTAATTAATTTACTTTTTGTTTTGATGTATTGGATATAAATACCGAGTAGTTTGATAAACAGACTTGGTCAAATCATATCAATACATATGTTTATAAAGATTTTTTAATACAAAAAGGTAGCGTACGTATTATGTTCAACACCTTTTTTTTTTTATATTTGGTGTAAGAAGTTAATATTTCCATTAAACTAACGAAAGCTACATACACATCACATTTGGCGGGATTCTATCTACATGTATGAGATTATTCCTGATTTATGTTTCTGCGTCCTTGAACTTTCCAAGCCAGAAGTAATTTTTGCATCTACGGGAAACTAGTAGGATTTGCTGATCACACCGAGCGATATCCTTTCAAATGCAACCGATTTCAAAGATATAATGGTGTTTCGTGAAGTAACTGGGTTTGGTTGTGGTTTGTTTTTCGCACAATGCTACTCGAGGGCTGTCTGCGCTAGCCGTCCATAATTTTAGCGGTGATAGACTAGAGGGAAGGAAGCTCGTCAACAACACCCACCGCCAACTCTTGGGCTACTATTTTACCAACGAATAGTGGGATTGACTGTAACATTATAACGACTCCCACGGCTGAATGAATGGTCGAGCATGTTAGATGACGGGGATTCGAACCCTCGACCCTCAGATTGCGAGTCGAGCGCTCTAACCACCAGATCAATAAGTGGGATAAACAACAACAAAAATATGCATACAAATTAGCAAATAAGCTCTCTGTTGAGAAGAGAATGGCAGAGCCGGAACAAGCTATGTTACGAGGTACAATATTTCTGTGGTCTTTTAAAACCATTTCGTCAATATATATACACACACACACACACATTGGAAGTTTTAGACAATGCTTACGAGAACATGTTATAGTAAAGTATTACGATACTATTTTAAATGTTTCGTATTCGCACTTTTGTAGGCATATTTATAGCAGGTAACTGAATCAAATTCATGCATATAAATAAAACGGACTTAAGCTTGTTTGACCTTAAATACTTATCATCAAAGCACACATTTTTACGTCAATCATTCAGAAACAACAACAACAACAACATAAAAGAAAACAATTACAATAGAGCAAAATTTGTTGTTGTTGTTTGTAATTAAGCACAAAGCTACACAATGGGCTATCTGTGCTCTGCCCACTACGGGTATTGAAACCCGGATTCCAGTGTTGTAAGTCCGCAGACATACCGCTGTGCCATTGGGGGCTAGAGCAAAATACACAACAGTTAATAATTTTAACATTATTAAATTAAGTATTAAATTTGGAACATCGATAAAAGACCTAAATAGTTGTTACAAATGTTATACAAGAAAATTTCTACCTACCAACAGATCCATACGAATAAGTTTCCTGGCGCAGACTTTCAACATTTGTCTGTGTTGCTACCGAAATATATTGGTTCTCAACGGGTGGAAGCGGACCTTCGTTGACAGTCCAGCCACACCGGATGTGGACGGAATGGGTGTTAATATTCTGTGATTGAAAGGGTCGAAGAGTAGGGAAAGACTGGTCAGATGAAGAAAACAAGTCAGTACGTGGACTACAATCAAGAGGGAAGGAACTGGGACGAACGAAAGCATTGACCGAAGACCAAAGAGCATTCCTGGTCTGAAGACTTCCAGAGGAAGTATGTGAACAACAATTTTGACTTTCTCCACACACACACAGACAAGAATGGTCAACTGAACTACGTGAATCAGATTTATAGGGAGTAGTTTCCATATTATTTTCATCAGCTGACCACTGTTCACCCATACCAGTTGCACACAAACCTACATCATCTGTGGAAGTATCCATGCTGAAAATAAATATTTCTTGGCAGCTGTTCCGAATCGGTGAAGCCTCGTAGCCACTATCTTGGGATTCTTGAAGCCGGGATCTCTCTGATCGGTCTATGTTCGCCACTGGAGGACAATCTTCCTCGAAGACGGGAGGAAATTCCTCGGTGTGCGGGTCACCTTCTCCGTCCATTATTGCATCTGCTGAACACAAGGAATAATCAAGCAACGCCCTCAGATTAAATCATGAGTAAAATATATTACAGACACTACAGATCAGAGATAAAACACACCCAGTATAATTAAAACATTTAACTCGCTCCCAAGAGAAAGAAGAAGATAACGAAGACCAGTGGTTTTCATATAATAGAAAGAAATTTAAATAATTTTATAAGCAAGTATATGACATTATAGCGATTGTTTGTTCCGCCTATTTTTTAAGGCATGGCTTTATTTAAGACTATGTTTTAAATATAAATGCATAAATCAGAAATAGCTACTTTTGAACAGAAGAGAGCCCATCAGATTATGACGTAATTCTAATTTCTAAACACATCCGTGGGTTCTACAATCGTAATGTCGAACGGATCAAAGAAAAATAAGCATGCAAAATAAAATAATGTAAAATCATGCAAAACAAAGACAACAATAATTTGTATCTTAATGCTTCAAGAACAAATGTTAAATTACCAGTATTCATTTGGAAAACCTCGAAACTGTCTCCTAGTAAAACACGATGACATGACTTGTGTACCAGCTGAGACACTGGTACTGTATTGTTTATATAAGCATGTTGGGCTAAATGTTGTAAAATAACTCTTACAGTAGATCGTGCTTTCATTCTACGTATATCAGTTATTTTTGTATCCGTCATGTCAAAGCCTACAGTTACTGTAATTAACTTGAACAGCGAGAATGCCATAAAAGTCGTTATATATATAACTAAAAGGGTCACTTGTGTTTTCCTAACATCCTGACACATCTGTTAAGCTAGCATTTAAATGAGAAAATTCATTTAAAGACAGGAAAGGCGATTTTGCAAATAAAGAAGCTCGCTGACTTCCACTAATTTCTTACAACGTTTATTATAGACTTGAATTTTAATGGAATAATGAAAGACACGAAATTGTTTGTAACAAAAACTGAGATGTACGTTCTCCTAAACTTCAAATCAACCATAAAAACATCGATTGTGTTGATTCACTAAACATTAACTTGAATGATAACCATTTCCTTCAAGAATTTTTTATTCAACTAATAAACACATGATGATACTAAAACCTTAAATAGACATGACTCTTTTACAGCATGTGATTATCACGCTCTACGATTCTATGGTTTATTTAGCCTAATAAAGCTATAATAATACTAAATGTCACTAGATGGAGCTACGATACTTTGTTGTTTTTTTTTAATGAAATTCGATGACTAATTGCGAGAGATGCTTGAAACAGTTTGGATGACTAATTTCAAGTTATGTAACGCTTGATCATTACTTCACGGATTTCATTGCGGCTCTAATGGTGAGCATCTAGCTCAATAGCCAGAGACTATGTTTAGCAGACATCCGGAATTCTAGTTACATACGTTGTAGTACATGTTATCGACATAGACGCAGTTAAAATTTCATACCACTGGCATTCAACATCTAATAATAACAATAATATGTATGTCTAGTATGAATTTAACATTTATCGACATTTCTGTAAATTACAAATTTATATCAATATGAGTCCAAATAGTAAAATCTGAATCAACGTGCGGATATGTACATATATATATATTTGTTTTCTTATAAAATTTCGTATAACAGGGAACATGCCAAACACGCAGTACGAGCATCAAACAGAGGAAAGAAAACGTGATAGACTTTCATAGAGCGAACTATATTTTCTAATACGTTAAACTGTGATTTTGTTGCAGATCTGAGAACATTTGTCAGTAAAACTGTACAAGTGTTACAGGAGGCACACAACAAGAGAGTAGTCAGAAAACTATAACATATATTATTAATTTGTGACAGTCACACATATCACTCAAAACTATTTGTTTTGGTAGTCACATGAAAAACATCAATATCAGTATTGAGCCTCAGCAATACGTAGCTCAACGTTTCGCCATCTGTCTGTCCTCATTCCCACTCCGTTTAATACGATGTACCGCAGACCGAAGGATTGCAGCAGTCTCTCTTTTGTCGTTCGATGCTGTTTTCTTAGTGCAAACTACGCAATGAGCTCTCTTCGCCGAGAGGAATAAAACCCCAAATTTTAGTGTTACAAGTTCGCAAACTTATCGCTGACCCACGAGGGGGGTAGTGGTGGTGTTCGAACTGTTAAACTAAACGGACATACAAACTTTCCACAGGATGCAGATCCGTTATGATGAAAATATTAAAAAAAAAAGAGTATTCCAGTACAGAATGCAGAAGCAATGACGTGTAAAATTAATCTTACAAAACCTAACATCTCCCTTTCCCTAAAAACAGTGAGTGATTGGTTGCATTATGTTTCTTCTGGAATGAGGAGGAGGAGACAGTGCCTACATCATCTATCGAAATTGTTGTTTGAATAACAGAAGTTGTAGAAGACTTAACAGAAATGTTTGTAAATACCCAAGCTCTATTCTTCACCTCTTTTGTCTTGGCTAAGTACTACTTCAAGTACAACCTTCGAATCAGCACCCTGCATTGCAAATGGTGTATTCCGCTTTAGGGTTCGCTGAAACAGGTGATGAAGAGTGAGTGCGCTTACAACATCTAGTTGTTTCTTTTATTGTGGTTATCATGTAAAACTCGGCAAAACACGTTAACACTTACCATCATTTCAACATATTAACATGGACTCTACTATTAATATAACCTGCAGAGAACTTATAACCCCATTGTTTTTCTAAAGCGATAGTGTATGAATCTTCCTTCCTGTTCTGTAGACAATGAGCTGAAATTTTATCCCTATTTTTATTTATTAGAACTGATGTTAATGGCGAAGTTCTGTACGTATGTGAAAGAATAAACGGAAGGATAGCTATCGTTTCACTATATTCACTCCCTGTAAGATTTCCTAGTACGTATTTGAGAAGTATATCAAAAGTGTTGTGTCAGCTAGTAATCTAGAAGTGTTAAAGATTTGCTACTTTCAATTGATTCATTGTTATAGATGGTGTTGTAGTTGTCAACAGTTTATCTAGATTAATGAGATTTCCAAGAAACAAGCCCTCTGGTGAAGCAGCTCGATTTTTTTTTGGGGGGGGGTAATTTTAAGTTTTAGATTTTCCTTCTTTAACTTCAAAACGTATTCTATGATCATTGTTTGAAGCATCACTGGAACTCTTACTCTGGATAATGATACCACTAAGGTAGATTAAAACACTGTATCACGGTAATTTCGACAGAATATTATCCATTAATGTTGGCCCCCAGTGGCACAGCGGTATGTCCGCGGACTTACAACGCTAGAATTCGGGTTTCGAAACCCGTGGTGAGCAAAGCACAGATTGCCCATTGGAAGCCCATAACGCTTTGTGCTTAATTACAAACAAACAAATCATTAATGTTTCATAGTGGAAATGGCAGAGCAAAAAAAAAAAAGCTGTAATTGTCAAAAATTTGCTTTGTAAAAAACGTTTTATCTCGACTTTGTTTCTAGCTGTCAATTTCTGCTCTGTGAATCAAGGGAATGAAAACAAAGTAAAGTTAGACAACACATTTCAATCAAATAATTAATCCATGACAGGGGATCAGCATCCTTTTTAGTGTTGTTTACTTTTCTGTAGTCAGAAGATGAACAAAGTGTTCATCTTTCTTTATCAGGGCAATGGGTCTGCCTTTATATATGACTTGGCTTTCTTTTTTAATACCACGTTTTTAAATGGCTAACCTATTTAATTTTAGCGTTATTTACAACAAAAAACGGTATTTCGAAGAAGCTCTTTATTGAAATGTTTTTACTTATTTGCAGTGACATCTTCAATATGGTACGCAAATAACAGAAAGTCATGTGTTTTTTCCGTACCATTTCTTCAGTAAATTGATTGAACATGAATTACACATAGCGTTCTGAAACGCATTTCGTAAGTTATAAATGGATCCTTTCTAAGACACGTAGTTTAATTACGAACCTTCATTAATATTAATAACATATTCCCACATCAAATACTATAAAATAACTTTTTTGTAGTAATAATTACAATGTATTTTTCCGAGCACAAAACTATGCGAAACCACGTATGGGTTTAATAGTTTGCTAGAATTTACATCGTTACATGAAACGTCACTCGACACTTGTAAAAATCTATACCAGTATATTGATAAAATACCATTAAAGTGAAGAAGATTCTCTGTCGTTTTTTTATTTGTTTAATTTTTTACATGGTGAATAAACCATCCTGTAGGGTTAAAGATAAAATATAAATTTGTTACAATATAAAGAAATTTACTTCCAAATAGTGGTACTGTGATGGTGTTTAAGGGCAGCGCATAAGGCGGAAAGATAAAATTTCAAGATCTTAACTTGTTTGGAAAGTTAAATATGACATGAGAGATATTTCCTGTGTATTTTTGTTTGTTTGTATGATATATATATATATATATATATATACATATACAGCTCCACATCCGGGTCTCAAATGTTACGGTATAATAATAAAACTGACTCCCGGAAGTACAATAATTTTTAAAAGCGAATTATACATACAAAACATAAAAAGCAACCTGTTAGTTAGCATGGAATTAAAAGAAATTGCCTCATGTAGTATACATTCACCCACAACATCTCCCCTTATGAATGAATGCTATACTCGTGAGCTTATAACTTTAAAATTTGATGTTCGATACCAGCGATGGGCACAAAACAGATAACCCTTGTGCAACTCTGTGCTTAATACAAACACATTACAACAGTTGAAGCAAGATCAAAATCTTGACATAATGCTCATGTATTCCTTAATGATATTTTCAAGTTTGTCAAATCTTAATTTACTGCAACAACAAGGAACAAGGAACTTGAATATAACCTAAGGTAAAATAACAAATATTCTTTTTACATTAAGATACACTACGGTGTGGCGGCCCTGTACGTTATTTTTTATTTGTTTGTTAGATTAACGGTCGGTTCAGACTTCGAAAAATTACTTTTTATTGCTAACTTTCATTGTGTATTTATTACTCATTTAAACTTGCGTGTTAAAACTACATACAAGTTATTTAAAACCAATACTTTTTAAGTAAGTTAAAATAAGTCCCACCTGATAGGTTCTCCAAATCGTTGCTAAAGCTGCTCCGTGTAGTATCTGGCGTCTTTTTTTCTCTCAAGAAAATCAATGACTCAGCGGGTTCTCAAGTTTGTCGTTTCTGCTCTCTTTGAAAGAAAGAAAGAAAAAATCTTTCGAGATGCAAAAGACAATTAATCAGCTCTCTTATTGTCAATTTATTAAGCAAAACCTAATGATTTTCAGAATTAGCACATATGTCAATATGTTAGCGTGTTAGCGAACATAAACTGTGTGGTGTTTACTTTCACTGTGCAAATACTGGGAAGGGTAGCGGGCAAGTTGTCAAATCCATACTCAGAAAATATTGTTTTCCCGCGCGAACGGTATCCTGTTTTCGTTCAGACAGTTGCTCGCTGGCAACCAGGGCTATGATGACATCATGTTCCTCAGACTCGAGAGTGTACAGCGTTTCGTAGAGGCTCGGCGAACGAGTGACTCAACCAAGAAGACCCGTTATAACAATTACCAATACTAAGCAGTACACCTGAGCAAGGCAAAGGAAATGTTAGATGAGATTTTTGTCACATTTTCTTAGCATTTTTATTTATGTTATAAACTTGCCGAATACGTTGAACCAAATTTTAGTAATACAAAGTTAAGAATAATGCAAGTTAAATTATAACAAATAATACATGATAATAGATTCTGTTATTTTTATTATACATTTTACAACTTTCTTCAGCAGTACAGACGTTCCTGTAGTTCGTTTTAAATAAATTAAACACAGAAGTTTCAAATAAAAGACTCATTGTTTATCTATGTACTGTAGGTATCCTGACAAATATATGTAAACCTTTCCTCAAGAGTTTTATCCACAAAATGAACTCATGCTTATAGGTTTAGAAACCTGCAAAACATCATTTCAAATATCAATTGATAACATTGTAGAGTCAACTGTGACCACATTAAAATAAGTCAGTCTTCGAGAACAATACAAATCCAGCTCAAAAGCGTGAAACTATGTGAAAAACGCTTATCAACTTTGATACAGTTATAGCGAAATTTCAATTATTTTTAATCTAGTCAAGGTCTTCATTGTCTTTTTCTCGAGCCCACAATACAGGTAGGAATTAAGAGAAAAGAAGTCGAAAAAATTATTAATATTAATAAGGACCGCAGCCGATAGATTCCTATGATCAGATTTAAAATATTTTGCAGTTCTGAGTACATCTTTAGTTGATGTTTGATAAAAAGGGTACACAAAATAATACAAACAGGTAAAAAAATGACTCACTTAAAATGTCTCCAATAATAACATCACTGATAAGAATTACATCAGTTACACTATAAGAAAAGTAACAGTTTTAATAGGCATGTACAAAAATTACAAACTTATAATTAATTTCTATTTTTTGGAAATAAATTATGCCATGTTTTCAGAATCCACTTTATCTCTGTAGTATAAGCTCAAGAGAATCAATATAAACTATAATTTACTATAGTGTCAAACTTACTCTGATAATTGTACATATTAACATATAAAGAGTTACTGACGATGTAATTAGATGTTTTTTTTACACCCCCTTCTTTGAGATTTTTATTTGATGTCAATTTAAAGAAAAAAAAACGTCATAATATCGATAAAAACTTTATGCAGCAACTGCCGCTATAAAACAGTGAGACATCAGCACAACAACTGAAGTTGTTTGAAGATTACAAGTATGACGTGTGAATATGTGAAGTGAAACAGTAGATAAAATATATTAATTTGTCGTCCCCTGGTGGGTCAGCGGTAAATTTACGAACTTACAACACTAAAATCCGGGGTTCAATTACCCACGGATAGCCCATTGTGGCTTTGCACTAAAACAAACAAAATTAACTTTTCGACAACAACAACAAAAATTTTCAAGTATTCTCAAATTGACTGTCAAAATACTGACAGTACGTAAATAAATTATAAACTTTTAACTATAGGTGAAAACGTATATTTGTTTTCTTGGAATTGCTGCTACTTCTATTAAATTTATTACAAATAAAAAAATTAATAACTTTTAAACGATCTACTGAAGTCCCAAGTCAACGACAAAAAAAAAGAAATCTGTCGATGATTCAACCACCACATGTGGTGGCTTAATACACGATTCGCTGTACGGATTCACAATGAAGGAATGCATATCTCACTGTCCCATCAGAAATTTAAACTTCAACCTAAACATAAAATATATGTTATAGCTAATACTCCCCCCAACCCCCAGATAAAACCTTTTGTTGCATAATAATGTCCTTTATTGTCAGTTTTTGGGTTGTTTTTTTTTGGAGTTCTAACTTCCATAAAGACTCAAAATAAGTAAATCCAACTTTTTTTTAAGTCAGTGTGTTGGGCGCACAAAAATTTATTTGTGTCACTTTTCATCTTGATTGTTGTAAATATGACTGCGCGGGAGTACAAAACATACATTTTTGGGTGGTTTGACCTTTGACCCCAAAAAATCCTTAAAGAGGCCTAAATAAAAAAAATGAAAAAGGAGTATGGGCGTATTGGACCAAGGTAAAACTCTACCAAGTTTCAAAGTCAATCCGCTGAGAAATGAAGGAATGGTGGTTGATTGAAAAGCGTTTGGAAGAAGAAGAAAACAGCATGACGCTATGCGGAGACACAACAATAAAGATACATTTATCACATTGCTGAACGGTTTAAAAGGATTCTGAGCATGCGCTTGTTATTACATAGATTTTATTTAATTAATAGCACTGAACACATATACAGAAAAAAGGCTGTAAAAGTAGAATAGATACACTTTTCACATGTTTTATTAATCATAGCCATTAAATTACAACAATAAGAAAACATTACGCATACAACAAAAATGTTTAAACGGTATGATAACGTTTAAGCTAACTTATATATCGAGATAATTTTCCATAAGCGTCAAAATCCAGTTTATTTTGTTGTTGCTATAGCAATGTTTTGACTCGCCCATGATTATACGTAACAAAACACTGTAGATTAAACTTCTCACAGTGTGACAATGTTATAAAGTTTTCAAAATGAGACGCTTTGTAGTCCCCCCAGTCGCACAGTGGTATGTATGCGGACTTATAATGCTAGAAGCCGGGTTTCGATACTCGTGGTGGGCAGAGCACAGATAGTCTATTGTGCAGCTTTGTGTTTAACTATAAACAAACAAAGATGCGATTTAATTATTTTTCTCTATCAACAAAATTTCGAATTCTGGCTGAGGCTCGGGAATGCTTTGTATTGCTAAAAGTAAAAAATCGTATGCGATTTATATATACACGTTCGAATGACGGTTAGGATACATTAAAATCCAGTTTCCTAGAAGAATTTAACACTGTACTACATTCCTCAATAAAATAACTTACAAGATTACATAAAGTTATGTTACTGACAAATAAGTGTTATTGCTTAGCAATCTTCACGTCCTCCGGTGGCTAAGCGATAAGCTTAAGCGCTTATAACGCTATAATTGGGAGGTTCGATTCCTGCAGAAGCATAGTGCAACATTACGCTGAAAGTAAAAAAAAAAAAAAAATGCGAATTTTACTCTTTTAATGGCAAATTTAGAGGTTATATATATATATATATATAATATACACTCGTACATATACATGGCTACTTTTTTTGTAAGTTTATAATTCTATCCTAAAAGAAAACAAGCCTATGTCATTACACTTCACGGAAGAGAGAACATCCCATAATAAGCGCAGTCAGTATCGAAAGGTTTCTGAAATATTTTTACATGAAAAAACAAAACAAAAAACATCACATTCGCTGAAGTGTAAAAAAAATAAACGTATTTATATGCAAGTTACGTTGGACTTTATAACACATGGTGTATTACTTTAACTCAGTTAGTTCGTACTGTTGGGTTAAGAAGGTGTTTCTTCTATATGATCTTGATGTGGTATATGAAAATAACCTTGTATCTGCACTTTCATTACAGTTGGGGACAATAGCTGGTAATTAGCAAGCATTTTACCAAGTCATTTATTTATTTTTTAAACTTAACAATATCATCTTCTGCATTAGATTAATAGCACAAGGTAAAAAAATACCTTGCAAAATCATTCCTCTCTTCCTTACTGAAGAAAAAAAACAACAAAACAGTAATTTTGGTTCATTATAAATTTTAAGAACATCAAGTAAAAACAGTTTAATGACTAAAGATTTAACGAAGTGATTATTAGTAGTAGAAAATCTACTGACAGCAATTAACTTTTTAATTAAATGAAGTTTATCCCCAGTAGTAGTAGTCACGTGACAAAACGAATATATCAGCTGAGCTGATGAGCCTCGAGCAGGCGAAACTGTAGCCTACGGCAAGAGGAACGAACGGTGTAGTGAAAAATGTACTAGGCCTCTCTACTTCACATATTATATTTTCAATTTTTACCTGTGGTGAAAGGAAATCTGTATATAACACGTATATTGTTGTTAATATTTATACGCATACAAAGACAAGTATTTAAATGTTGTTGAAGTTAAGCTTAGAGAAACGGTTAGGGCACAAAGAGGTACTACTGCTAGATTTTTGGTAGATAACATAAATTATCGATTAGTAATTACATTGATTCAAAATCTGGCACTAATGGAAGCAGCGAAGTCAACTCTCTTAGAGCCAGTAAAAATTCCACTGATATTTTCATTGGTCAAAGGTTAATTACAACATTACTTTGTTAATGAAACAGTATTAACGTCCCATAACTTAAATATTGTATAATTAATTATGTTGCAATGTTGTTTGTTTTTTAAATACAAAAATTCTTTTAGAAGATTAATCGAAGTGAAAAGTAAAACAAAAATTAACAGATAAAATACTCAATAAATAATATTTTTATTCATCGTATTTTCACAGAAACATAAAATGGTCTCAATATCGGCAAATAATTAAAGATTAATTAATATTTTGGTTATAATTAGGATATTTATTCCTAAAATTTACACTATTACTTAGCGTACAGAATAAGAACCCCCTTTTTTTTTTAAATAAGAAATCACATTTACTAATTTTTGCCGTAAAATATCAATGCATTTTGTAACAACATTTAAATTATTTGAATAAAACAGCAGTTTGCTTTACTTAATCAAGATACTACTTATTCATAACACCTAAGCCTAGAATATTTGCTATAGTCGGTACTATCTGGTTAAAAGATATAAAGGTATATTATTATTATTACAAGAAATGTCCGTGTAGTTATTTCAAAGATTTAAGACCTTCAACGTGCAGCGTTGATTCCAGTTATTTTAAATTTAGAAATTTAACCAAACAGTCTTAACCTTGTCACATGTAAATTATTTAACATAACGTAAGTTTATTTGTCATATCACTATTTATTGATTTATGCCACTTTGTTATATTGCATCACCAATAATAGGCTTAACTAAGTACCTAAACTGAGGCTAAAGAGGTCGGTAGCCTAAAAAACGTTATCCTGCCTAAAATTTATGAGATGCTTCAACATTATAGATAGATTTATCTTTAAGTTTAAATAACCACTCGGGATACTAAAATGAAAACAACTTTTTTCATTCTTTTTTTCAGAACATAATCATTCATGTTTAAAGGTTGTGTAAATTATTAGGCCTAAGTTTCTACTTCAAACTTAACATTAAAACTAAGAAAAAAAAACAAGCATTAAGTTTAAGTTAAAAAGAAATTATTCATAAATGATATGCCTAAAAATACTTTTATTTAATTTATGCTTATGTATTCAACATAAAATCCCTTCGAGATTAATAAAAATTACCTGGCATTGTGGCAATTTGAAGCATATTGTGCTCGAGTTAGAACATGTTGACACAAGTCTTTAAGAAATATATTCAGTTAAAACTAACAGTAACAGTAAGACAATCGGTAGCCTACCTATACACCTTTAGCAACGGCGTTTTTCTAAGAATTACGATTTCTAATCAAACAGTTAGCATAGTCTAAGACATCGCCTTCTTACCTGATATTTCTAAAATATTGAAAGAAAACACCTTGAATACTGCTATTATATTCTTATAACTTTATTTCGAAGTACGACGAGGTGGGAAAAATGAAAACACTAACTTTAATCTTCACACGTAACACATACAAGTTGCAGGTTGTGTACTGAACTCTCTCTCCAAAACGCTAGACACTTTACGCGCGAAGAGTAGAGCGTGGGTTTGTTATGTATATGACATCACTCTGGTAGTTGGTTTTAACAACCAATGAGCGTGTTTCTAAAATACACTCTCGAGTAACTCGTATTTGACGATTTGATGACGTTTCAGGATGAGGTAAGAATAAACGTACTTGAACATTTGTGTAAAACGGGATATTCCAAAGATAATTTAACGTAAACTAACTATAACTTCTTAATTATCAATTAGTAAGCAGCGATGACCGGTTTTAGACCGTTGTTCATAATTACCGATATTATAAGAAATCAGTGGTTTTAAAGTAGAATGTGTACATAAATAACAGATAAAAGGTAAGTCACGTAGTATTAAAAAGAAAATTACAGTGATCCTTTTAAATAAAAGAAACGAAAAAACAACAACTCAATTTTCAGAATATATGTACAATAAATTCATTTCACGATCTTCCTTCACTTAAAAGAAACTTCAGAATTAAATGGGAAAAATAAAAAAAAGAAATAGATTAGTATTATAGACATAATCTGGTTAATAAGTTATTATCTACCACTAAATTACAAAAATATATCTATTCACAAATGCTGTTGCAATAAAAACAGAAATCATAATGATAGTACAATCGATGTTATTATCTTTAAGGCAAAGTGTTAACGTTAGATAAAAAAGTAATAAAAGTAATACACCTTTCAAATCACAATTATTCATTATTGAAAAACATCTTTGTTTAATTAAATTAATTATATACCACAGGATATATCCGGGTTTCGATACCTGTGTTGGGCAGAGAAAAGATAGCCCATTGTGTAGCTTTGCGCTTAATTACAAACAAACAATTCATAATTTCAAAAAATAAGTGAATTTATAAATAAGCAAAAAATTGGTAATTTCTTATGGACAAAAGATCCTTACTGATTATAAGACGATGCACGAACTTATAGTTTGAACTTTTATTCCAGGTAATGAAATAGTTTTAGACCAATTGTTACTATTATTTTTAAATGCACGTAAGTGATTATCAATTACCCCATCAAGGAAAAATTATCTGATCGGTTGTATTTCATCAGTTATGATGTCTTATATGGTCTTAGAGACAAAAATGATCTCAATATCCCGTCTATTAGCAAATGCTTAGCCTTGTTTATTTGACGAAATAATACAGACGAAGTATGATTATTTTGCAAAGCTGCACTGTAAAGGGTATATATAGGCAAACAATACTCGTTCGCAGTTTTGTCTCGCGACTGTGTAACCTGTTCCGTTTAACAAAGAAGCAAACACTGCAGGAAGAAAGACCTGTTCTTTCTAATAAAGAAGCAGG